ATTTTATAATATTGTGTTTTAGATTCTTTGTTACAGTAATTTGACTGGAATATTTTATTACTTTTATTTGAGCGATAATCGAAAACCATAATGGCGATCATTTAGGCGTAGCGCCATCTCTCGCCACATTTCAGACTTTCAGATCTGAAACATTTATTTTTGCATCAAAACTAACCCTGAAACAAAACAGTAAAATTTATATTAGTATAAAACATGAATAAGGACATTTGATCACATTTCGGTCTGTCATAAATGAAAACACTTACAAATTTTAATATTCATCTCCCTCTTCTATCACACCCAAGGTGAGCTATAGTGTCATTGACACTTTCATTAAGATTGATTCCCTACGTGTCTATGTAGGTTATCCAAAGAGCCTGCTGAGAGAGCATATAGTGATGTCAGGACTGTTCACTATGGCCAAGATGGAGTGGATGGAGAGTCAAGTAGGCATTACTATAATTATTTATAAATAAAAAAATACCACATCATATCCTAGTTACTGCATAAATGTAACACAGAAAAAAGATAATCCAAGAGAAAAATGAGGTGATGCAAGAGAGAAACGTGAACCTCTACAAATCCTCGGTCTAATGTATATGCATCTTTTTTTCGACCCCTACAGTGATATAATCAGGGATGAGAATCTTCCGCGGATCCGCGGAAATCGCGGATTTCACAGTCCCAGGGGGTCGATTTTTTGTGAAAGTCTAAATCTGTTGAGAGAAAATTTTAGGGGGGTTAGAATGTACAAATTTTCATTTTACAGTCCAACAGTTACCTCATTTAATAACATTGTAATATAGTTCGCTTTACAATATAAACACGGCTTAGTTCACTGTTTGAGATTGTTCAGACGTTGGCCATGTGTGTGCGTGTTATTTGACGCTGTAAGGGTGGTTGTGTATGTGTGCCGCGCGTGCTACGCTTGGCCGGATATAGTACGCGATCGATCGATCGTGTACATCAAAAGCCACCGCGTCACGGTGACCTTGAAGCTCGTTTTATGACAGAGCTGGCCCAGGCTCTCTGCGACTGTTTCACGTGGTAGGACAACGTAGGTACGAACTGTTTCCTTTCTCGCCAACGAAGTTCTGCTTTTAATTTCATATTACATAACCATAAAGGTGGTGTCGCGAGCTGCTCTTTCGGTGACCTTTGAAAACGACAAAAAAATTAATGTCGCGCGATCGCGCCCTAGCTCCTAGGGTGTTAGGAATATCTATATCGTGCGAGCAAGGGAGGATTTTTGGCAACCTTTGGCCGTAGCAAATAAAGCGTTTCCTTTCCTGATGTCTGATCACTGTGGCCTGATCACAGACTTGCCTTGGCAGCAGGACAAGCTGCTAAAGTTGTTCAATATGATAAATATCTACTGTAGTGACCAGAAACAAATTTGAAACTGCTGGACAATGAAAACATCTTATATTATATAAAGGTTAGCCTTTGGGGACAGTGTGGAAGTTGTACATTAAAATAATTTTGTTTGCCAGAATGTAAGTAAATTTTGTATTGATTATTAATTCTAGTGTTATGATTAATGACAGTGCAAGTATATACCTCCTGCAGTGTACTGTAATATGCTCTGTAACATATTCTGTTCTGTATGTGTTCCTAATGCAATTTTAATGCCTGTAAGTTGTGAAAATTCAAAAACTTCCTGAACCCCTGACCAGGGCTTTGCCCTGGACTGACCGGCCCCAGCTACCCCCCCCGCTGGACCCCGGCTATTGTCACTTTTCAGCTGAAAACACAAGTTGTCATTCCCATCCCTGTATAATAGTGTTGATGCATGAAACATTACAAACAGCAATCCCTGTATATTTAGCATGTCACTGTGTATCTAACGAACGTGTGCAGTGCAAAAGGTTGTATTCTGCTGGTGTTCAGAAACTGACAGATCGTATATTTGGCAGCAGCTAATTAAATTTAGTTAATAATAACAATCTGTTATTCTGTGCAGTTGTGGGATCTGTGCGATCAGTAGCAGCCTCAAGAGTGGAGCATGCACTTTCAGAGGTTGCATCTTCTATGACCAGCTATACTCCGAAATCAGGGCCACACAAATACTGGATGACACAAACTCGCATCTGGTTGCAACTCGGTATGTTAGATAGCTATACGAGATGTACATTGCTACAAAGATTTTTGCCAGGCATCGAGTTTTTAAAGGAACAATTTTCATATGTTACCACCAGATTTAATCAGTTAGTGCAGTGGTTCCCAACCGTTTCACCACCAAGGACCCCTTTTATTTAAATTAATTTTCCCACAAACCCTAGGTTTTTGAAAGGTCAGTCTACTCAACAAGCCAATTTTATTAACAAGCAACATAAACAGTTTCCCCAGTTTCCATGGAGAATGTTGCCATACTGAGTTGATAATATTACAGCCAAAAGCAACGAAACATTACATTTTGAAATAAAAATTTATTGAAATAAAAATTATTGAAAAAATAATTGAAATATATTATTGAAATAAAAATTAATTTTTGAAATAAAAGTTTATCTTTAGCAGTCTTATCATGAGTAATTATACCTTTTACGCTGGAACCTCTTGAAATTTTGAACTTACCTCACAGACCCCCCCCCCCTAGTACTACCTTTGCGGACCACCAGGGGTCCGGGGACCCCAGGTTGGGAACCACTGAGCTAGTGTGTTGTTGGTTGGCAGTATATAGATGTTTATAATTATATTTTATTTATTGTCGTTTTATTTATTTAAATGTTGTGACTGTTTGTAGAACTACAAAGATGTCATGAAACAGCCAGGTAACGCAATTATTATTATTTTCAACAAGAGGTGGCAGCACAATGTTGCATTTCAGCAAAGAGCGTTAAAGATTGTAGTAAGAGTACCAAATTTGGGCATGTGACATCAATTATCAGCGCTCCAAGTGGTGACGGAAACCGATAGCCGAAATGCTTAGAGGCGTGTAGGTTGCTGACTGATGTGGATTCGAGGCGCTGTGATGCCTGTGGGAGGGGAGGTTTTACGAGCCAATATCTCAGCCTAGGAGTATTGTATTGACAAGCGGTTGGTCTTGTTTTAGAGAGCAAAGAATTCTGCTTAATGCAGTACCATAAAATTATTCTAGAATCGCAGGCAAAGTAGAATAATCATGTCGTGAAATAGCACTATTTTCCCGTTTTTTCGTTGTTCACTCTAGGTATTATTAGCTCTTGATATATATGGTGTGCAGTATTTCGGGAAAGTTGCATTAAGTCCACTGATGAATTTTGTTTAAATATACATAATTTCGATAAGTTTAGCGTAGTCAATAAATGCTAGGATATTTTTGTGACTAATATCTTGTGTGTATATGTTGTCAGAGCACAGGCACTAGATCCAGACGACCCACTCTGTGAGTTCTATATTGCGCTTCAGCATGCTATAGCCCGGCAGGTGCCTCTAGCACTTGAACATGTCAAGAAGGCTCTAGATCTCTGTAGTGAACACAAACACTCGCTTCAACTTCTTGCCATGCTGCTCTCTGCAAACAAACAATACCGGAAGGCATTGCAGATCATTGAGCTGGCCCTCAACAACTACCCAGATGATGTCAAGTGAGTATGCATCAGTTAGTGATATCGTGGGACATCTGAGAAGATGTTAAAGGTTACGAAGAAACCTTGTGTGAGGTAATCTAGGATATAGCAGGGCCAGAGTTTGAATGCCTTCAACCATAGACTCTAGTTTAACTGTTGCTAAACGTTTGCATAACATATGATTTCGATGAGTTTGGTGGCGGGGGCACTTTGAAGTGAAACGTCGAAGACGTCCAAAGAAAAAATTCAAAATTTAACATTGAATTTTTTTCAAATATCCATATGTAAAAGTCCCTATCGATGCCAATGTTTTTTTGTCATGAATGATGTGTGGATGTCTGGTTTTACAGCCTACTGTTTGTAAAGGTGAGGCTACAGGAGCTATGCCTCGGCACTGATGAAGCCGTTCTCACCTGTAAACAGATGCTGCATAAGTGGAAGACAGATTTCGAGGAGGAAATGCTAAGGTATTGTGCTGCAACTAATAACCAGCAAAAGTGTCTACACCCTGGCAATATAACTTTGGCAGTTCACACACTGCATAAGGCTATTAACTTGGATTAAAAACGGTTCCTGGATGTCACAATTTGTTTTTATACATACATCCTGAATAATTTGTTGTTAATGAACTGGATTTTAGTGTGTCAGCAAGTCATATATTATTGTAATAATATAATTGATAACTGTTTCTGTGTTGAACATGTTGTGTTAATTGTTGATGAAACTGCAGAAATATGTGTATTCAATAACTGTATATATATCCCTTCCATTTTTAACTCGCCTTGACATTGTCAAGATGAGCTATTGCCATGGGGCATCGTCCGTCGTACGTCCGTCCGTCCGTCCGTCAACATTTGGCTACGGTCAACGATGACTCAAGAACCGTTCGACCCACATGTTTCAAATTGCATGCAGTTGTTACTCCTATGGGAGAGGTTTGAACGTCCTATTTTGGCGCACGCCAGTCGACCTACTTTCGAGCCACGTCCACTTTTTGGCAAAAATGGAAAGGGCCATAAGTCAGTTCAGGTTCAATGGATTTTGCTCATTTCTGGTATGTGAATGAATGAGGACTGGCTCCAAAACATATCACACAGGTTTTGATTTTTTTATTATTATGCAAATTAGGTAGATTTTGGCAATTTCACTATGCATTTCAGTGTCTGCCTACGGTCAACGATAACGCAAGAACCGTTTGACCCACATGTTTCAAATTGCATGCAGTTGTTACTCCTATGGGAGAGGTTTGAACGTCCTATTTTGGAGCACGCCAGTCAACCCACTCTCGAGTCACGCCCACTTTTTGGCAAAAATGGACATGGCCATAAGTCAGTTCAGGTTCAACGGATTTTGCTCCGACGAGATGTAACATATAGTTCGCTTTACATATATAAACACGGCTTATGTTCACTGTTTTGAGATTGTCAGACGTTGGCCATGTGTGCGTTTCGTCTTGGACGGCTCGTAGAGTCTGTGTGTGCTCCGGTATGTGTGCCGCCGCCCTGGCTCTACGTGGCGCGCGCCGGTGGCCGACCCGCATAGTCAGCGTCAGCCCCGCCCGCGCGAGTCCGATCGACCGCGCCGCGTGCTTACGAGTCAAGAGCCACCGCACCGTCACCGTGGACCTTGAAGCGTCGTTTTCATTGAAGTAAGTGGCACCCGCCCCACCAGGCCTGCCCAGTCGATGTTCACCCCCTGGGGGGACGGGCCGCTGGTAGGACAACGGGGTAGGGGCTACGGGAACTCGTCGCTCCGGCTCCGGTTCTGCGCTGCCGCCAAAAACCCGAAGTCTCCTGCTATTATGAATCCCATACTGCAGATCCCATTAAGCGACTAAAAGGTGGTGTGCGCGCGAGCTGTGCCTTTGTACCCTTGAAAACGATAAATAAAATTACTGTCGCGCGGATCGCGCCCCTAGCTCTGAGGGTGTTAGAATATTATATCGTAGCGATGCAAGGAGGATTTTTGGGCAACGCTTTGGCGTAGCAATAAAGCATTTCCTTTCCTGAGTCTGATCACTGTGGGCCCTGGATCACAGACTTGCCTGTGGGCAGCAGGTACAGAGCTGCTAAGTCTGTTCAATATTGATAAAAATCTACTGTAGGTGACCGAGAAACAATTTGAAACTGCCGTGGGACAATGAACAGTCTATATTATATAGCTTATCCTTTGGACGTGTGGAAGTCGTACATGTAGAAAGTAATTGGTGTTGTGCAGAAGGTGTAAGTAAATTTTTGTATTGATTCATCGTAATTCTAGTGTATGATCAGATGACAGTGCAAGGATATACTCCCGGTGCAGTGTACTGTAGACGTAGTGCTCTGTACAATTCTGTGTCTGTAATGGTGCTCTGCCCTAATCGGGCACACTTTCTATGTGCCTTAACGTTCGTGAAACAATCAACAAAACTCTCTGTCCTGAACCGCGAGCGTGCCCTGACAGTGTGAGGGCTTTGCCCTGGACCTGAGACCGCCGGCCCGCGTCGCTAGCCTGCCCCGCTCCCCCGCTGGGAACGCCCGGTCTATTTCCAAGCCTGCAAACAGCCCAAGCTTGTTCCATTCCCATTCCTGTAATAAGTAGTGGTTTGATGGCATCGGACAACATACACAGCAATCCTGTATTATTTAGCAAGTGGTCACAATGTGTATGCTAACGAACGTGTGGCAGTGCAAAAGGTTGTATTCTGCTGTGTTCTAGAAACTGAGAGATCGGTATATTTGGCAGCAGCTAATTAAATTTAGTTTAATTAATAACAGGATCTGTTATTCTTGCTGTCAGTTGTGGATCTGTGCGATCAGTAGCAGCCTCAAGAGTGGAGCATTGCACCTTTCAGGAGGTTGCCAAGTCTTCTAGTGACCAGCTATACTCGCGAAATCAGGGCCACCAGGGAGAATACTGGTGGGGGATGGACACCCAGGAACTCGCTCTTGTGGCTTGGCAACTTCGTGATGTTAGATGTAGCTATATCGAGATGTGAACATTGCTGACACAAGATTTGCCAGGCATCGAGTTTGTATAACGGAACAATTTCATGATGTTACCGCGGCGGACAGATTAATGCAGTAGTGCAGTGGTCCCACGCGTTCAAGCCACCGAAAGACCCCTTTTTATTTAAATTCAATTTGTCACCACGAACCCTAGGGTCTTTTGAAAGGTCAGTCTAGCTCAACAAGCCGGCAATTTTATTAACGAAGCGAACATAAAGCCAGTTTCCCCGAGTTTCAGTGGAGAATCGGTTGCAGTACGCTGAGTTATAAGTATTACAGGCCAAAGCAACGAACATTACGATGTTTGAAATAAAATTTAATTGAATATAAGAAATTGGTTGGAAACAAAGTAATGTGAGAGATATATTGTTGGAAGACTAAAAATAAGAGTTTTTGAAATAAATGTTTATATCGTTGCCGTCTTAGTCGTGAGCTAATTATACCGTTTTACGCTGCGGAATCCTCTTGAAATTTTGGAACTTAACCTCAGCAGACCGCGCCCCCCTAGTACTACGTTTGCGGACGGCACAGGGTCCGGGGACCCAGGGTTGGAGCCACTGAGCTAGTTGTGTTGTTGTTGGCAGTATAGTAGATGTTTATAGAATTATATCTTTGAGTTAATTGTCGTTTTATTTTACTTTAAATGTTGTGACTGTTTGTAGAACTACACAAGATGTCATTGAAACAGCCAGTACGCAATTATTAGTTATTTTCAACTAAGAGGTGTGGCAGCATCAGATGTTGCATTTGCAGGCAAGAGCCGGTTAAAGGGGGATCGTGGTGACGTCTAGGTTTCTAGGGTGTGATGTTTCAGTCGTAACTTGGTTAAAACTTAGTGGCTGACATAAAAAGTTTCATGGTTGCAACTCGACTGCATTAGAAATATTACTTAAAAAGATGCGTTTTAAAAACGTGAACCGGGACCTACCAGGTTTGATTGACAGCGGGGACGCGGTGGGCCGGCGCACTGCAAGGAGCGCACTCGGACGATCTGATAAGTTCTGGTGCCAAAACCCACTTCAGTCGACAGAGGCTAGCGAGACCCGGGAGCGTGTTTCTATTTAGTAATTAGAAGAGGCAGGAAGAACTGTTGTAAGTATCGTTCTAATACGACAGCATGTTAGGTTATGAATATGAATTGCACTTTGTGGACGTTTAGGCCCTCGGTCTGTAACGTCCAAAATAAATTGCAGAGGATACGGCAACTTTCTTCAAGGGTGGGGGGACAG